AAGTTCTTGAGCGTTCCTTGCTCGTCAACGAGCGCCTGCAGCGATTGGATCTTCTGCTCGTTCTCTTGCTTCTTCTGCTTCAAGTGGACAATGGCAGCCGCCATCCTGTGCCAGGGCCGCAACCCATCAACAATAAAACACAAGGCCGAAGAAGCCAGGCAGCGCTCGTAAGCTTCTATCAAGGGTGCGACACGTGCAACAGCAGGTCACAACATGCTCCGCAGCCACGTGCTTGCGTGTGTGCTGCGGCAACGGCATGGCTACAAGATAAGCACCGTTGACGCCACACCTGCTCTTCTCGTCGTCAAATGTCGCCTGTGTCTCGTTGAATTTGCGCTGCAACTGCACTGCTTTGCCCTGTAGGTCCTGGATGGTGGCTTTCCGCAAACTCACTGGCAGGTGGTGCAGCCCCGGTGCGTGAGTACGAGCATCAGTGCGTGAAAATGAGAATGGGACGAGCAACACAAGAACGCCAACGCTTGGTACATGGGGCCACACGCGCGTGCGCACTCATGTACGCCAATGCACGCACACAAACGTGGGCATGCATGACACAAACACGCTCACACGTGCGCGCGCCGGAACAAACACGTTCACATGCACATGCACACGCACACATGCTTACATGCACGCGCATCTTCAACCAAAAGGAACATGATCGTCACCTTCATCCTGCAGTGCTTCGACTATGGCTGACTGGTGCTGTAGTGCGTGGTCACGATCATTCAGCTCTCGTGCGAGCGAGGCATGTTGTGTCTGCAGCGATTGCACTTCCTCTCGCATGTGCTTGAGCTGTTCTGTCAAGTGCGAGCACTTTTGCTGCTGGGCTTCAACCTCCTGCACCAACAGACACGAGAGCAGCAGCGGCACGTGAGATCATGTGCCACACACACACACACACACACACACACACACACACACACACACACACACATACACACACATACACACACACATACACACACACGTACACAGCACGTGAAGCATGCTCGTGAGGAAGGAGCTCTCAACAAAAGCATTGCAACGTGTAATAACCTTCACACTCACCGCTTCCTTGCTCTGCAGCTGATACTCCAGCCTCTCTTTGCTTTCCGTCACGGTCCGAAGTGCTTGATCATGTTGCTCCTTCAATCGCTGAAAAAAAAAGGCAACAAAACGTGCCAAAGTGAAAATGAGATGTCACGCGACTCAGGTGTTGCGTCGCACTCTGTGCACAAGGCGGCGTACATAAACAACCAACACCGCGTGTCCACAGCTGTTGTTGTTTAAGTTGTTGTTGTTGAAGTTGTTGAAGTTGTTGTTGTTTAAGTTGTTGTTGTTGTTGTTTCGGTGTGTACGTACCTCTCGTTCGTCATCCCACTCACGCGCTGCACGTGCTTGCTCCTGGTGCACACGTTCCAAGTCGGCGGCTGCCTCGTCCAAACGCCGTTTCACCTCCTCCAGCTCATGCTGTCACGCACGCCACGGAAATGACATGAAGACATGCGTGAGTAGGTGAGCGTGCGAGCGGAATATGTCAGTCAGGCAATCGCACATACAAACCCACAACACCAAGCACGCAGTCTCACACACGCGCAAGCGCACACATGCACAGACCTTGTGCTTGCGCTGAATGTCGTTGATGATGCGCTTGACAGAATGGGCAGGGTTGCCGCTGGTGCGCGCTGCTTTCTTTGTTGTGTTGCCGGACGCATGGGAGCCATTGTCACCGTCTTCACCCCTTGCACGTGTTGTGTCGTCATCATTCCTCGCGCGGCCACCGCTCGCCACGACACCACCCTGTGCTGTATCTGCGATGCCATCTTCATCGTGCTGCTCTTCCTCCTCTTCCAACGCCGCTTCGTCAATCGCCTGCAAGTTCTTTGCCATCGCTGCGAGCTGGTCGCGTGTTGCGGCCCGATCCCGCTCCAGCGCTGCACATGTGTCCTTGAGCTCTTGTATCGATGCCGTGAGCTCGTGTTGTTTGCGCTCATTCTCTTCAGTTGCGGCCCGCATGGCATCCGTGTGCTGCGCCTCCATGGACGCAATGGTGCGCTGCACGCCAGCGAGTAGGCGGTCAAGCACACGCCACGCACGGTGCTGACATGTCACAAACAGGCCGTTGCGTGAGTGTGTGCATGAGGCAGGAACACGAGTGATGCGAAACTTGACATATGTCTCACGCCAAACCAGGGACATGACAGCCCTTTCTCGCAAGCCAACATCAGTCGATCTCACACACATAAGCACAAGGTACACACGGGCATAGGGCGCACACATGCACGCTCTTGCACACACGCGCACATACAATGGCTGTATCGTACCATGAGCGTGTGCTGCGGCGGCAGAGCAGCGTGTGCAGCAGCCCGTTGTTGGTCCTCGGAGGAAGAGGTGGGCTCGCCGTTCGTGTCGCTGCTGACCTGTTCCTCCGCCACTCCTGCCGCTGATGACGACTGTTGCTCCAGGCCTCGCACGTGCCCAACAACCGGCGCCAGACCCGTGAGCACGCTTGACGCCGCAGCCACGCCAGCGCCATCCCCCTCTGTGCCACCGCTGAAGAACACAGACTCAAGCATGGCCCCAACAGCCTGCAGGTCACGAATGCCTTCACGGGCAGCAGATGCCGCGGCTTGAGTCACGTGTTCGTGAGTTTGCTGTGTTGCCTCCAAGCTCTGCGCACGCACTGCAAGTGTTTTGACCTGGGCCTGTTCGCAGCATGTTTGCACATGTGTGAGAGTGTGTGTATGCGATCGGATGTGCACGTAAGTGAGCAAATTTAGGTGTGTGCGTGCGTGTGTGTGTGTGTGTGTGTGTGCGTGTGTGCGTGTGTGCGTGTGTGCGTGTGTGCGTGTGTGTGTGTGTGTGCGTGTGTGTGTGTGTGTGTGCGTGCGTGCGTGCGTGTGTGTGTGTGTGTGTGTAACTACTACGCGGTCAAGAAGAGGCACGTTGAACATGTCAAACTCATCCCACAACGCTACAGGCAGCCAAAAGGTTATAGGGATGCAAAGCAAGAGCAGCATGACCCACTCACCACGATATGGTCCGAGGTTGGCTCTGTGTGGAGGACGGCCGCCAGCTGCTGTTGGAGTTGAGTCATGTTGGATGCTTGCTCGTCCGCCCGCTGTTGCTGTTGTGTCAACTGCGCCCGCAAGTCCTGCATGGCGTTATTGTGGGACGCTGCTGCCTCATCCATCGACGCTTGTAAGCTCTGCACCTCCTGCTGCAGCTCGTCACAGCGCGTGGACAGGTCTGTTTTCTCTGTCGACAGCGCTGCCACCACCTCCGCCTTGGCGTCGATTTCTGCTTGCAGCGCCGCCAATTCTCGCTGCTTCTCGTCCTCGCGTCTCGACTGTTCCTCGCTGTGCTCTCTGTGAAGCTACAACATGTGCATGCATGAGCATGCATAAGCATGTGCGTGTGTGCGTGTGTGTGTGTGAAATAAGACACGAACAACCAGCATGGCAGACAAAAACAGTACCAAGAACATGAGGGGTTGGTCATACACGGAAACGCAAGCCTGTAGCACACGCGCACGCGCGCGCACCTGTTGAATTGTTGATTGCGCTGCCTGGTGGTTGGTCTGAGCTTGTTGGAGTTCCGATTGCAAGTGTTGTACTTGCTGCTGCAGCTCGGCTGCGTTTGCATTCGCGGCCTCCAGCTCTTTACTGCGGTGCTGGTGGTCTGCCATTGTTGTCGAGTACGATGTGGCAAAGTGATCCCGCTCAGCCTGTGTGTGTGTGTGTGTGTGTGTGTGTGTGTGTGTGTGTGTGTGTGTGTGTGTGTGTGTGTGTGTGTGTTAGAACGATTGCATCGCACGGCATGTGTGAGAACTTTGTACAACACCACGACATGCAACGTAGAAGCGACAGAGATTCACGTCGCACCTGCAGCGTGGATGTGGACTGCTGCAACTGGTCAAGCTGCTGTCTCAAATGCTGCATGGACGCCTGCATGTCTTCCACTTGAGCGTCCTTTCGGGCTGCGGTCTCCAGTGCACGGTTGTACAGGTGCTCCCGTTGCTGATGCTGATCCAGCGCCCGTTCCAACTGCAGCACTTTGATGTTCTGTACACCCACACGCGAACGTCAAATGGCATCATGGCATGGCAACAGCAGCAGCAGTGGTGAGAACGACGAACAAATGTTGGAGTAGGGGTGGCGAGACTGAATGGGATGACAACATTGTAACAGCAGGGGACGGCGTAAGAATGACTTGTGCGTGTTGTGATGTGACACAACGACAGCAATGTGCGATGTGTGTGTATGTGTGGGTGTGCCAATGCACGCACACAAAACAAAAGTTAAAGCAAACAACACATCCAACCATGGGTAAACACGCAAGCACGCACATGCACACGCATGCACACGCCCACACCTGCTGCTCGAGTTGCTGTTGGTAGTAGAGGATATCGTCAAAGGCATTGCCAACGAGCTGACCAACATTGTGTGTTCTCAAGGGCTCTGCGGTCTGCGACGCTGAGATGCGTGCAGACACGGAGGCCATGGTAGCAGGCTGGCGATGCTGCAGTCTGGGAATCACAGCATTGAAAGAAGCAAAGCGAACGAACTTAGCACGCTATTTGGTGTCATACGTAGGTAGCCACGGCAGCAACAGTGAACAACGTACACGCGCACAATAACACACACGCACATACGCACATACATACATACATACACACACACGCACACGAGGACGATGCACACGCACGCACACGCACACGCACATACATACACACACGCACACGAGGACGATGCACACGCACGCACACGCACACGCACACGCACACGCACACGCACACGCACACGCACACGCACACGCACACGCACACGCACACGCACAAGCGTGTTCGAGCTGACCTGTGGTGAATTGGAGGCAGCCGCAACGTAGAGCCCAGGTCGCTACCGTGCGCCGTGGATGCAGCTGTCGGGTGCGGCGGCAGATGCTGCGGCAGATGTGCTGGTTGGTGATGGTGGCGGTGGTGCGGCTGGGAATGGTGGTCATAGCCGTACTGTGGTTGGTAGTTATGATGTGGCCGTTCAATCGTGGGAGGCGCCGCCGTCCCTGTGGTGGAATGAGCATAAGGGTGCGGGCGTTGCTGGGAATGAGACTGGGGCTGGGACTGGGACTGGAGTGTGCCTGGTTCTTGTGCTGGAAACATGCCCACGTCCCCGATCACGCTCCCAATCCCGCTGCCGTGAGCCTCTTGTGTCTCCATGAAGCTGGGTGTGTATTCAGCTCTGTCTGCTACATGTACACCTGCACGTGAGGAAGTGAGGAAGGTCAGCAGATGCGTGGATGAAGCTTGGGAGTGATGGAAGGTGAAAGGATGAAGGTTGGAACGGTGTGGGAAGGTTTGGTAGGACACCTTCTGTCTCCTGCCTGTGTGCTGTGCGTCCTTGTTTGTGAAATTCGCAGCAGCGTTGCCAATGGAACATTGTGGTGTCGTGAACCGCACTTGTTTCGCAACGACGACGAGCGGCAACGGTGAAGAACCACATCACAATCACCACCATCACCATCATCACGAACCATGTCCTCTGTGGCCTCGCCTTCGACGGCGGACGGGTCCACCGCGGCGGAATCGGAGCTGCTGACGCTCAAGCGAGCGGCGGATGAAGCGATTCAGCGGCTGACAGCATCCCACACACAACAAATCCAGGTGCAACAATGTGTGATGTGTTGTGAACATGAGTGCGAGTGAGTGTGTGTGTGTGTCTGTGTCTGTGTGTGTGTGAGAGTGTGTGTGTGAGTGTGTGTGCGAGAGCGTGTGTGTCTGTGTGTCTGTGTGTACGTGTGTACGTGTGAGTGAGTGTGTGTGTGTGTCGCTGTGTGTGCGCGCTCTGTGCTCTTTGTGCGTGTGCGATGCAAGTATCTGTATGACCACGACCATCAACCCGCACACACACACACGCGCGCGCACGCTGCCGCCGCCGCTGCTTGCTGCTGCTTGGCAGGTACGAGGAAAGCAACTACGTGTGCTACATCTCGCTGTTGACGATCCGAGTAGTCCCGTGCTGTTCTTTGTGCACGGATTCGGAGGCAGGCTCGAGCAGTGGGAACAGCAGTTTTCGTTCTTCTACAAGCGAGCAAACGTTGTCGCCGTCGATCTCATCGGTCATGGAGGAAGCGCCGTTGTGGACGAGTGAGTTGCAGGCAGAGAGTGTGTGTCTATGTGTGTGTGTCTGTGTATCTGTGAGAGTGTGCGTGCGTGCGCCTGTATGTGTGTGTGCGCGCGCCTGTCTGCATCTGCATCTGTGTCTGTGGCTGTGTCTGTGGTTGTGTGTGGAGTGATGTCACATTACGGCACTTCCACACGAAAGCGTCCAGTGCAAAGTTACATTACCAAGCATGCCCAGCCAATACAACGCACTCACCACACATAATGCACTCACCGATTACAATGCACGCCTTGCCTCTTCGAACAATTGCTGCTACCCCTACCCTTGCAGGGTCGAAGCGTACTCGACACCAAGCATAGTCGATGACTTGAAAGTGATCTTTGACCAGTATCGATGCAGGGACGGCCGCTTCAACGTGCTCATCGGCCACTCTTATGGTGCTTCTCTCATCTGCAAGCTGTGGGCTGCATCTGAAGCTGTTCGCTCGTCGACCTGTGGTGTTGTCTTCTGCGGATCGACCCTGGCTGGTGCGTCAATGGTTGACCGTGTACACTTGCCTGCTTGCTTGCTTGCTGTCTTTCGTGTCATGTGACACGCCCACAACATTTCGTGCATATGGAGTGCCATTCATGTGCTTGGTATCAACTGTTGTACCGATAGACTTGTGAGTACAACATCCACTCGCTGGTGCACACATATACGTACGCGCGCACACACACACGCCCTTGTATATACACGCGCAGTGTTTTCACGCGCAGGCACTCCCACGCGCAGGCACTCCCACGCATACACATGTACACGCGCGCACACGCACATGCACACGCACATGCATACACGCACGCACGCTCACATGCGACTTTGCGCGACCGGCTGCCAGGGATTGGGCAAGAGCTGCCACTGAAGGTGATGGGGTGCCTGCCGTGCATGGCACTGGATGCGGTGCGCTGCCTCATGAACTGGGGCGGCGCGTCGTCGTGGGCCGTGCAACAGTTTGTCGGGCCACAGGCCGACGACGACATCCGCAGGAAGCAGTACAACGTCAACTGCAGCACCGCCACCTCGGTCCTCATCAACACCGCCCGCGGCCTCTCCCTCGCCACCCCAGACGAATACGCAGCCCTTGACTGCCCGGCCATGCTGCTCGTTGGTACGGACACATCTGTGTGTGTGTGTGTGTGTGTGTGTCTGTCTGTCTGTGTGTGTGTGCATGTGTGTGTGTGTGTTGTGGGGCTCATTGAGTTTGATAATTTCCATTAATGAGACTCATGGCGAACAGCACCCACTGTCCGCTCTTGTGCGTGACATACGCTTGCTGCATCGTGCTCACAGGGTCTGAAGACAAAGTCACGCCGCCGCAGACGACGCATCGCATTTACACACAACTGCAGCGACCGCATGGCCCATACGTATGTGACACAAGACATGTTGCCACTCTTGCATCATATGTGTGTGCGTGTTTAACTTCATGACCTTACCAACCGCTGTGCTGCGATGATCAGGAGATACCGGGCGCAGGCCACAACCTCCTTGCAGAGGCGGCACAGCTGGTAAACGCCCTCCTCAACAAGTTCCTCATCAGCAAATGCAACCTCGCCTCCCTCACGTATGTCGACGCTGTTCTGAGTCCTGTCTACTCCAGTCTCGGTGGCTCTGGCCCATGCCACTCACACTGTATGCCCGTGTGTGTGTGTGTGTGTGTGTGTGTGTGTGTGTGTGTGTGTGTGTGTGTGTGTGTGTGTGTGTGCGTGTGTGTGTGTGCGTGTGTGTGTGTGTGCCCTTACAGGGTTGAGGCTGACACGGACACGAACATTGATCAGAGCAAACCCAAGTGGGCCCTCAAGAACCACGCAAAGTGGAAGGTATGGCCCTCACCAATCGCCTCTCCTCCAGAGGTGTGCGAGCATGCGCGCGTGTGAGCGTCGCTCTCGCTTGGGCTCACTCCGTGTTGCGTGGTGGCTGCTGTTGGGCAGGCCACCCCGCCTGCCAGCGCCGTGATCGGGCGCAGGCGCGGGTGCTGCGGTGGGTTTCGCGCGTGCAAGGTGCTGAGACAGGACGACGTTGACCACTCACCGGCCCACTTCAAGGTGAGCGCACGACACCACACATGGCGCCACGCACCACAGTTACAATTGTGTTTCCGTCGGCAACATTGCCTGTCATGGGTGGTGAAGCCAATCATAGGTCTCATTTGCCCAATCATGTGTGCTTGTTGCTTTCATGAGCACGCAGGATGCGTATCCAAACGTTGGGCTCATCATTGACATCAGCAAGGAGACGCCACCATATCTACCGCCCTCTGGTGCACACCCAGAATACATCAAAGTGCCCACGGAGTCAAAGGTGAGTTGATGCGGTGCGTGTGTGTGTGCGCGTGTGTGCGTGTGTGTGTGTGTGTGTGTGTGTGTGTGCTGTTTGTTTACATGTGTTGTGTTGTGTGTGTGTGTGTGTGTGCCTGTGGTGCTCATGTTGCTGGGCGCACGTGTGCTGGACTGGCAGGTCATCCCTGCGGACGATCGCGTTCAGGCATTCATTGAAACCGCCGACGACTTTTGGCGAGCGCATCCAGGCCAGGAAATTGCGGTGCACTGCCACTGTGAGTGCGGGCAGTGGTGCGGAGGCACGACAATGAGTGCTGCGCGATACCACGTTTCTGCGCTTTTCCTTGCACACACGAACCATTTTATCCGCCTGCACCTCTGATTGCCAGTCTGGCCACACACACACACACACACACACACATGCGCGCGCAGTACTCACTCCCTCACACCCGTTCACTCGCGCGCTGATGGGTCCACACCAAAGATGGCTACAACCGCACAGGATATGTCATCTGCTGCTACTTAATCGAACGGCTGGGTTTTACACCAGCGCAGGCCCTCGCTGAGGTCGGACATTTCATCACTGCTCACTTATGCCGTTGCTCAGCCACAGCACAGCGCCTTTACCCGCCGCCACTCACCCCATATCATGTGTGTGTGTGCGTGCGTGTGTGTGTGTGTGTGTGTGTGTGTGTGTGTGTGTGTGTGCGTGTGTGTGTGTGTGTGTGTGTGTGTGTGTGTGTGTGCGTGTGTGTGTGTGTGTGTGTGTGTGTGTGTGCAGTTTGCGACTTCAAGGCCGCCCGGTATCAAGCATCCCCACTTTCGGCACTCACTCGTCGCCAAGTACAACGGAGCTCTGTGAGCCAGCAGTGAGGCACGAATACTGGCCACCAGAAGGTACATCGTTCCCATGCCGCTTGTGTTTGACCGGGTTAGAGGGCACGCTGATTTGGGTGGTTAGTGATGACTTTTGGTGCCTTTTTGAGTCGGTGGTTTAAGCAAGCTATTAAGTGGCTGAAGTAAGGCAGATGTAGTGATTGTGTGTATGATCGTGTGTGTGTGTGCGATCGTGTGTGTTTGTGATTGTGTGGTTCCTCTGCATCAGTACATGGAAGTAAACGCGTTTGAGATGACACAACGTCAGCCAGGCAGTGTGTGTGTGTGTGTGTGTGAAGCAAAGCAACGCTGAAGACAAGCAACAAGAGAGCAACAAGAGGGAGGGGAGATGAGCCAACACACGCCGCCACCTCTTCACCCCACGAAGTGGAAGCAAGCATGCCAGCAAGCAAGGAAGAAGAAGAAGAAGAGGTAAACCGAACCAAGCCAAAGCAACAAGAGAAGGGAGAAGAGGGAAGTGAAGGAGAGACAGCAAGCGCCACAGCAGCCAGCCACATGGAGAGAGAGAGAGAAAAAAAAATGGAAGGGAGAGCAACATCACCCGTCATTCCCGCCTGGTCACCCACGGCAGTACTGAACGGGCCCAAACGGGCTTGGCTTCCGCGATCGGACGAGAGCGGGCGTGATCCCGTTGGTATGAACGTTGCCGACAGCAAAGCAAAACAAGCAATTTATAAAGGCAGAGCCAGCAAGCAGCAAGCAAGAAGAGGAAGAGGAAAATCCCACACCCACCAAAAAACCAGCAGCAGCAAGCAGAAACGAGCAAACAACCGATTCTGCTTTCCAACCAACCAACCAATCCACTTGCCGTTGCTTGCTTCATTCTTCTTCTGCGCAGCAGCTGTGTGTGTGCGTGGTGCTGGTGGTGGGAATGGTGATGGTGATCATGGTCGTCGTCGCTGCTGACAGGCAGGTGAGATGAGTTGAGGTGAAGTGAGATGAAGGAGAGGTGAGGTGATGTGAGGTGAGGAGGTGGGAACGTGTCATTGGTTCGTGCACACACACACACACACACACATTGGTGGTTGTGCGTGCCACCTTCCTTCCTTCTCTTCCCTTCCTTTCCTTCGTCGTCCTTCTCGCTGACGCATTCAAACACACGCACGCACACGCACACATGTGCAGGGAGGGTGTGCGCACCGTCTCTCTCCCCTTCTCTCCCCTTCCTTCCTTCCATCCATCCTTCCATCGTTGTCCATTTTCTTCTCCTGTGATGAACCACGCACAACCAACCAGCCAACCAACCAATGACCACATGAATGACCCATCCATCGACAGGTGAGGGTGAGATTGAGTGCTCGCACTTCTTCCTCCTCCACTCCGTTCTCCTCCTCTTCCCCTTCTTCCCCTTGCACACTGCGCACAACAACAACAACCACCACCACCATCAACAACAACACCAACACAGCGCACACTGTCATCGTGCACACACAGCCACACACACACACACACACACACACACACACACACACACACACACTTGCTCACCGTTGTGTGGTGACAGAACAACTGCCATCAGCCACCGTCATGCAGCGGCCACCTTGAGAATGGATCATGCAGCCTCTTCACCAGTGAGCAGCACACACATGAGAAAGAGGGGGAAATGACATCAACCAACATCACAGCCAATGTATGTGTGTGTGTGTGCACGGGGTTGCGTTCCTTCTCATCCTCCCCCTTCTTTCTCCTCCTCTCTGCCTGTGTCTGTGACACACGCTGCTCACTGCTGCTGTTGTTGCTTGCTTGTTTGTGGTGCGTGCAGATGGATGTATTCCATCATCATCATCAGCAGCAGCAGCAGCAGCAGGTGCTGGCTGATGCGTGAGGCAGTGGGCAACTCCCACCAACCAACCAACAAATGACTACATGCTGACGGATGACAGGTGATCGAACCACTGCATCACCCAGACAGGTATGTGTGTGTGTGTGTGTGTGTGTGTGTGTGTGTGTTGACGTGTGTGTGTGTGTGTGTGTGTGTCTCGAGGTGCATGTTCTCTTCTCCACCACCCACACGCCATCATCACCGCCTCCTCATTTTCTTGTGTGTTTGCTCACATCCTTCCCTTCCCACTCTCAACACCACTATCACCTTCCACGCTTGTTTCTCCTTCCTTCTGCTGTCGCCGCACAGACGGCCCTTGAATTAGCAGCTGTCACCCCCACCTCCTCCTGCACCAACCACCACTGCTCTGGTGGGATGAACAGACGGGCGCTGCCATGTGATGACCATCCAGCCACGCTGTATGCGGCTGTGGAAACAGCAACACCAACACACACCACACCACAAACAAGCAAGCGATGAGCAACGTGAGTGCATCACTGCTCGTGCGCATGCGTGTGTATGCTGCGCACCGCACCAGTGTGCGTGTCTGTGATCGTTGTCTCTGCTGCTCCTGTCTCCCCTTGTTGTCCCACATCAATGTGCATGCATGTGTGTGGTGCGGCTGCCTGTTTTGCCTTGCTTGATGCGCTGTCTCATTCGTCGTTCTCACACACAACTGCTTGCACACCTGCACATTCTCCACCTTGCAGCCGCTGCTTATATTCCCCTCTCTTTCTCGCCCTCCCTCGCGGCCATCACAACAACAGCAGCAGCAGAGAATGCACCACCACCATCACTAGCTGCTGAACACATCCCCCAGCCAACCAGCCAACCAACCCATCGCCCGCTGCAGCTGCTGGCGGAAGCTGGCTGTTTGCTGCTGGGAACAGGTGGCGACAGCACAAGTTGCACTTTCGGCGGGAAGCAGCAGCAGCAGCAGAGGTGAGGGCGAGAAGAAGAGGGAAAACGGAGAGGAGATGTTTGTTGGCTGGTTGGATGGATGGATGAGGTGGGGTGGGGGATGCTGGGTGAGTGTGATGTGGTGTGGTGTGGTGTGGTGTGGCTGGCTGGTGACAGAGGATGGTGGTGTGTGGTGGTGGTGTGAGGAAGAGGGATGGAAGGAAGGATGGGGTGCAGCATGTCTTGTTCCCTCCCTTCTGTTTTCAGTTGTCTCTCTCTTCCCTTTGTTCTTCACACCTGCATGCACAACACCAGCAGTGGCAGTAGCAGTGTGGCTGCGCACATATCCATACTCCCTCTTTCCCTCCCACTCACTCACCGTGCTGGGGCTCGCACACAACCACACTTACAGGCGATGCGCACGCACAAGCAGCAGGATGAGGGAAATGTCGAGAAGACTTGCCACGCGTGCCAGGTGCACTCGCCTCACACATGGTATGTGGGTGGCGATGAGTGGTTGGTAGTGTGATGGAGTGTGGTGATGGGGTGAAGCGAACGAGGGAAGAGGGTTGATGGAGAATGATGGTCACGCACCGACACACACACACACACGTACGTACACGTGGTGCGTGTGATGTCAATCCCTCGTTCTGCTGTGCTGACGTTGGCCTGCTGTCTGCCTGTTTGTGTTCTCTGTTCCCATCCATGGTGCCTGCAACCACACGCACACACACATATGCACAGGTGGTGAGGTGCCAGCACACATCACAATGGTGATGGAAGCGGGCTAGCATGCCGGCTGCTGCTGCAGCAACTCCCCTGATTCGGCTGCCGCTGCTGTGCTCATGCAGTGTTCCCACATGTGAGCAAGGTGAGCCCATCATGCATGCTTTGGTTGGCACATGGCGCTTGTGTTGCTGCTCTGGGTGTGCTTGGTGTTGCTGCTGCCGTGCCTCGTGCAGCAGTGTAGCTGTGCAGCTCACATGCCATGTGTGCTTGTGGCTGCAGGGGCGACTGCCTGAGGATCGTTGGAGGATGATGGGCGGTGCACACATGATAGATTGGGAGGAGCAGCTGTGGACACACACGTCCATGGTCATGGTGGGCACATCCAACCACAGCGACGCAGTCATGTGCAGGTGTGTGTGTGTGTGTGTGTGTGTGTGTGTGTGTGTGTGTGTGTGTGTGTGTCGTGGGGCGATGAGGAGGAAAGCAGTGGAGGGACAGGAAGGTGAACACGTCTGCTGTGCTCACATGCCATACCTGTGCCTTGTATGTGTTGATGTTGTTGTGTCTTGTCGTTGTGTGTTGGTTGCATGCGCACCAGGGCCACATCAGAGGAGGGAAAGGAAGCCGCCATGAACGACACATCGTCACCATCATCAACCCTTCCCCATTTCTTTCTCCTTTCTCGCTCTTCCACCTCAGCTCCTCTGTCACCGCCATCACCACCGTCACCATCATCGCCATCGACTGCATAGCCGACATCACACTCCGGCTGACACCAGCTCCAATCTGGCGTGAGGAACACATTGCACATGTCACTCGCTCTCATGAAGAGGTGAGCAATGTGTGCGTGTGTGTGTTGTGGTGAGTAGGGACAACATGTGTGCGTGTGGATGTGTGTCAGTGCGGGTGGTTGGATGGGGCTGGCGTGTGGTTGATGATGCTTCGCTGTCAACCTCACCCCCGCATTCTCCTCTTCGTGCGTCTGTACACACACACGTTTCACAGCGTTGAGGAGGCGCATGAAGCGGTGGAACCAACGACGATGACGATGACGAGTGATGCAGGTGAGAGGCCGACTGAGATGTGTATGTGTGTGTTGGTTGACACGCTGTGCTTCCTTCTTCGCCTCCCCTCTTTCCTGGTCTGTTCTGTCCACTCATGTGTCTTCTCTTCTTCTTCTCCCCTTTTTCGATTGATTTGGACACAGTGCCATGCATCCTGTCTCCGTCCAACCAACCAGCCAAGCAGCCGAGCGAGCGAGCAAATGGACACGGCGTGGCAAGGGGCCGTTTGTTTTCACCGTTTCCACCACCAGCAGCAACAACAGCTGATGTGTGGCTGTATTTTGGATGAACTGGCCTTCCGTCTCTTGTCCATCTCCATCTTCTCCCTCGTCGTTGTCGTCATTGGTCACCAACAGCAGCGGCTGCGGCCGTGGATGTGGAGGTGAGATGAATGGGTGGGGATTGTGGTGGTGATGTGTGATGTGTTGGGTGTGAACAACAGCATGTATGCGGGTGTGATTGTGCGGTGCTGGTTGGATGTCGTTGGGTCTGTTGGTGATGGCAATGGGGTTTGTCGTCGTTGATATCCCCATTTGTGACAACTCACCTCTTTCTCCACACGCACACACACAGGGTGTGATGTGCGTCGATGTGCTGTTGCCTCGCATGACGACGACGATGATGGTGGTGAGTGGTTTGTGGTGGATGTGGACTTGCGCACGCACACGCATGTGCAGATGTGATGCTTGTGGTGGTGGTGGTGAGGATGTGACATGTGCGTGCACAGGTGATGATGTGGGTGATGTGAATGTAACAAAGGAGGTGGATGTGGTTTGTTTCTGCCATGCTGGCTCACTGCGTGGTGTGATTCTTGCTGATCCGGTTCTGTGCTTGCGCATGTCTACATGTGTGTGATTTGCACAGGACGATGGCCGTTCTCTTCCCAAGTCCTCATGACATGAGCAGGGCGATACACGCACACACACAACCGTGCGAGAAAAGAAGGCACAAGGTGAGAGGCTGCCGCTGTGTGTGTGTGTGTGTGTGGTGATGGGGTGGTAGTACTCATTCACACGCACGTACACGCATGTACACATGCATGCCAACACACCAGAGCAGTCATTGGCTGTGGGGTGGTTGCACTGACGTGTGTCACATGAATCAATCTCACAACTCAAATGTGTGTGTGTGTGTGCGTGGCTGCAGGCGGACGTTGTGCGGGTTTCCCCGACCAAATTTCCTTCCTCCTTTTCCCAACCAATCGCCTTTGCTCTGTGTCATCATCATCATCAGCCTTCCCCATGTGATGTGGAGCTGTTGAGGCATGATCGAGACAGCGGCCAACACAGGTAATGCAGCAGTGGTGATGTGGTGGATGTGGTGGATGTGGTGGTGTTGTGTGCTGGGTGCTTGTTTCGTTGTTCTTGTGTGTAGGTGATGCACCCGCCCACAACATGCTGCATAGTCCCATGCGTGGTCCCTTTGTGTCCCTCCTTTCCTGTCCTCACCATCACCGGTCATTGTTCGTCCCTTGTTGGTTTCTCCTTGCCTCACAGGCGGGCATGATGCTGCTGCTACTGCTGGTGGCTGCTGTGATGATGGCCGTGCGTGTGCCTGTGCGCTGTGCACCGTGTTTGGGGCTGCGCCGATGAAGACAAGGAAGGACACGGCCCGTGCCCACCACTCTTCCCCTTTCATCTCCTCTTTCTGCTCCATCAGCGATGACGATGGTGGCCGTGGCATGTGATTGCGGTTCCTTTTTCTGGCTTTGCTGTGGCACATCGGCTGGCTGGCTGGCTGCATCAAGCACGGGTGAGGATAATCGTTGATGGTTGGTTGGTTGGTGGTGGGCTGAGTTGTGGAGTGATGGGAAGCAGGGGAAGGGGGAAGTAACACGGTGGTGCGACGTGGGAGTGCAGAGCGAAAGGAGGGAGAGGGAAGGGAAGTGATAGGAGGGCGATGATGTTGGTTGGGGGATGGGGGGTGCGTGTGCACATGCACGTGATATCGTGTGGTGGTGGTATCACATGACGAGACACATATCAGTGGCTCATTCCTTTTGCTGGCACCTGTGTGATTGTGATTGTGTGATTGTGGTTGTGATGATGACTGCAGCAGGCAACACACGGCGGTGGATGCCGGATTGGATTGGCTGGGGTTGACTGGCCATCGTGTCGTGTCGCCCATTTCTCTCCCTCCCCTTGCTCATCTCAACCGGGAACACACACGGCCATGTGTGCATGTGTGCGTGTACATGTGTGTGCATCGCCATCAACCACGCCGACAGCGACGCGATGCACGAGGTGAGGGCACGCAATGGTGTGTGTTTGGTGGAAGGGATTGAGGGGAAGTGGGAGGAAGGCGTTCATCATGGCCACCATCACCACCACGGCTGTGCACCTGGTCATGTGACCGTGCATTTGGGGGGATGGAGATGAGGGGAGAGATGTTGTCGTTGTAATGCTTGTGGTGGTTGTGTTTGCATTGCTGTGCATGGTGCATCGTCTCACTCTGCAATGCCATGTGTGACAGTGTGCGTGTGTGTGTGTGTGTGACTGCAGATGTGCGTGCGCGTGTGCGCATATGTCAGGCAGATGCGTTGATCGACGACGAGGTGTGTGTGATTGTGGTTGACCTTTGTGTGCTTGTGCCATCACAACTACGTACAACACCAAGCACATCATCACCGTTTCACCCCAGATGTTGTTGTTGTTCATTCATGCATGACATGCTCACATCCACCGCCCTCCCCTTGCTTCTCCTTCTTCCTCTCTTCTGCTGCCACCCCTCCACTGTTTCCCACCACCCCCTTTTCACCCACACACAGAGAGGAACCCATCCACATCCAACACCCATGCCCACGCCCACATCCACGCACGCATGCCATGCCATGGCGAGCTGTGCCACCTCAACCAACCCAACTCAACCCAGGCCGAGGAAAGGAAGAGGGGAAGCAAGGACAGAAGACGTTATGCTCCCAACAGATGTGTGTGTGTGCATGTTGATGGACGGTGTTCTCCCCCCCCCCTCCATCGCCTCGCCTCTTGCTTCCATGACGATCTGGCTGGGTGGCTGTTGCCCCCCTCCCCTTGTTTATGTTCTCTTCCAGCCTTTTGTGGCTGTTCGTTGTCTGTTGTGACTGTGAGGAGCGGAGGAGAAAGCGAAAAAGAGAAGAAGAGGGGGAGGAGAGGAGAGGAGAGGGGGTACATGCTGTCCACAACTCTGTGTGTGTGTGCGTGTGTGTTTGGCTGTTTCTTCTTTTCCAATCCCCCCTTCTCCCTTCCCTCCTCAGCCTGCAAGGCCTGTGAGCCTGCGTTGCATTCACACACACAGTGCTGTTCCCCCTTCTTCTCCTCCCTCTCCTTCTTCTGCACGCAAGTCCGCCCTTCAACAAGCAAACGCAGAAAGCAAACAGCAGTTGCCGCACAAACGCAGCAGTGGGCGATTATTTGTGGCATCTTCCACAAATCGCCCAAACACGAACCAACAAGACCAACACAACAAACAAGCGACAGGCGACACGCGAATCAAGGTGCGTGCATGTGTGTGCTTGAGTGGGAGGTGGTGGCTTGCGTTGTTCGTGTGCGTGGCTGGCGCAGGGTTGGTGGAGAGGAGGGTGAGCGTGCGCGTTGTGACGGGCACTCACTGGCGGTCCTGTTGTGGGTGATCTCGTTTGGTTCCATGGACTGTGTGGGGTGTGGTGGGTGATGGTGTGATGGTGAACAGTTGCAAGCAGAGAACACGCACAGCAGCGACCACACCATGGATGTGTGCAGGGCCAAAGGCATGCAAGGCGTTGCCCACGGTCAGTGAGGCTGACATATGTGCTGCACAGGCCCATGCCACGCTGGCACCGTGAGTTTGGGTGAGTTCTGTCAATTGGTTTGACTGCTGTGTGGGTGCGTGTGATTGTGTATGTGAAGGAGGGAGAGTGGGACGTGGCTGTGGTGGGTGTTGTGACCTCACACGCTCTCCTGCTGCTGTGGATGCATTTGGCTCACACGCACAGACACACACACACACAGAGGGATGATGGGCTGCATCGACCCACACACATGAGTGTGTGAACACACACGCACACACGCACACGCTGACAGGCAGTCTGATGCCACCTCACGGTGCGTTGCACTTGCATGTGTACATGACTGTGACTGTGTGCATGTCGTTCATGCTGTGTCTGCTTGTGATTCACACTGTGTGTGTGTGTGGTGGCTGCTTGCTTCCCTCTGTCTCACACACATGTGTATGTGTTTGGATGGTGACACACACGCACACAGACAGACAGTGAGTGGGTGTGCAGACACACATGCCCACACAGCAAGGCAGGGCATACTCTTCCTCCTCTCCTCTCCCTCTCTCCCTCTCCTGCCACCACCGCTGGTGCATGGAAGGACCAGTGGATGCAAGGCGTGTTGGATGACGCTGGGCTGGCTGATGTCTTTCCCTTGGTGTGTGTGTGTGTGTGTTTGCAGCACTGCTGCTCTTGTTTCCCGCTGTTTGTGTCTGTTGTGTTTGTTGTGCGTTGCTGCTTCCTGTGTGTGTGTGTGTGTGTGTGTGTGTTCACCACAGCCACGTCGTGTGCGCCCATCACCATCGTCTGTGCTCACACACCTCCCATGTCTCCCTTTCTTCTTCTGCTCCCTTCCCTCGCTTCCCTCTTTGTCATATCCCCACACGCACATGCACATGCACACATGGACGCTTGTGCAGGGGAAAGTGCAGGCTGTTTGTTGGAACACATGGCAAGGCACGCGCAACCAAGCAAGGACACACGAGCAAGCATGGACACAGGACAAGCAAGCAAGGCGTGGGGCTGCCATAGACCACGCACCCCGTTGGAGAAGGAGGGGAGCGTGAGCGCGTGGTGTTGATTGTGTATGCGTTGTGTTATTGTGTTCTGTTGTTGTTGACAGCGTGCACGTCTCTCTCCCCTGTATCCTTCCTCCCCTCCCTTTCTCTCCGTTCTCTCTGTTCTCTCTTGCCACAGTATGCACACTGCTGTTGCTGCTGCTGCTGTTGTTGTTGTTGGCTGAAGGTGATGATGGCGGTTGATGGGGGAGTGAAGCGGTGTGGCGCAGCATGGAGCTGTCGCTTGTTGTGTGTGTTGTGTGTGTGTGTGTTGCTTGCAGTTGATATGGGGATGCTTTCTCGCTTGTTCTTACCACCTGTGTGTGTGTTTGCTTGCTGTCGTGTTGTTGAAGTGAAGTGGAAATATACAATGCAACACGCATGTGCAGCTGTGTGTATCGTGTGATGCTGCTGGTGGTCGATGGTTGCGGTGAAGTAAACACAGTGTGTGTTGTTGTGATGTGACTTGGGTTAGTGGCGAGCTGGGCGTGTGGCTGTGTAGTGGGTGTTGCATGCAGGTGAGGACAGCAGCAGCAGCAGTGAACGAGGGAGTGGGGGCAAGGATGAAGCGAGTGAGTGATGATGGCAGCGACTGGTGGTGGATGTGAACAGGGCTGATGTAGAAGAAGGCGACAGTGTGGGCTTGATGGGTTTATGATGTGTTGTAACACATGCAGCATGAAACATGAACGAGGCAGGAAAGGAAGGGAAGGCAGGCTCAAGGGAAGGAGTGGCGGCACAAAGTAGTGAACAGGGACAAGGGAAGGCATGCAAGCACATGGAAACAATAGCAGCAGTGGCAAGAATTGAAACAAGACAGGAGGAGGGGTGCGGTGACAAACAAGGCTTGTGGTGACAAGGTGGTGACAGAAGGGGATGAAGGGAAGCACAAATACGCACAGTGGGTCGTGTTGTGGTGCTGTGTTGTGCTGTGTGAAGTGAAGGATGAGTGATGTTGTGTGGGGAGGTGCTGTGTGGCGGTGAATGGATGGAAGAGAAGGAGAGACAAGGGCGAATGAAGCATGTGGCAACAAGTGCAAAGCAACAATGCAACACATGGAATGTGGAACAGCGAAGGGAAGAGAGAAAGGCGCAAACGTGAGTGAAGGGTGGGACAAAGGGACAAAGCGGCACATGCATGGATGTGTTGTGCCGTGTTGTGTTGTGATTGTGGAGATGGAGCAATGGAAGTAGAAGCACGAACATTGCAAGCAGTAGCAAGCATGCACGAAGAGAGAAGGTAAAGTGGGAAGAGGAGAAGGCGATTGCAGCGAGCTTCTTACACATCCGATCATATCGCTGGGGCGAGGGAGGAAGCGCAGGTGATGTTAGAGAGTGAATCCGAGAAGCGAGGCGATGCTGTTGGGTGAAGTGGAGTGAAGTG